CTGAACTCTCTGTAGCTGCTCCCCTGCAGATCAGTGAGTATAGATAGACAGGGAGGGATATGCTGGAACTTCCTATCCCTGCCTCTCTCCACACACAGCGACCCATACTGGCTAGTGCTGGTATTGCCTCATAATCTCTGTTTATACTGAGAAAAATACCAGCATTTGCCAGTATGACTGCAATATTGGCACCACCCAGGCAGCCTCAAATACTGGCTGTGCCAATAAGCCAGGTGGAATCCCTAAGAGTAGTGTGTAAAAAAAAAAAAAAAAAAGGAAAATATATATTTTTTTAAATCAATGGGCCTATTCCATGGGCCTGGAGCTGCAGCTCCATCAACCCCTATGTTAATCTGGCCCTGTTCACGCTGCATAACACTGAAACACTTAGTCAAAAAACATTATGATTTGATTTTTTTTACCTATAGCACTAGGTTAATCACTATTCTTGACGGTGTACAGGTGTCAGTGACAGACTTGCCAGAAACTGCCCTTTGGGATGTCTTGATTTTTTTTTTTTCAATTTATAATTTTTTTTAAAATTGAATTCTTTGTTAAAATAAGCATAGCGGTACAATTTTTAGTACACGTTGCGTATTAAGCTTATATGTCTTGATTTTAATGATTAATGTTGTCATAAGATGTGACTTTTCCAGAACAGAGACCAGGGTAGTAAAAACTGTGGCTGCTGTACAACCTCTTGGGGAAACAGAGCCGTCAATCATCATACTACTTTGTGAAGTATCCCCAATAACAGTAATGAACCGGAACAATGATTGACAATTTTGGACATTCCCAAGTGGCTGTGCAGCAGCTGCATATGTTGTTTTGCACTGGCTTCTGTAGTGGATAGAATGTATCATATTGTGACAGAATCCGTTAAAATCATAACATCCTAGAGGGCAAATGCCTGCCAATCATGCAAGCCTGACCATGGCGTCTGGCTACAATTAAAGATGATGCCTCTTATTTAATTTGAGTTTAATTTGAACTGTAATTGATTCACAATTTGCTTTCAGTGTGTATTTGATCAGATAATAAAGGCAGAAAATATTGTATTGAATTTTTCTCTATTAAATGTTTTGTCATCTTTTTCTCTCATTTATTTTTACTAATAGTAAAAACAAACAAAAAAACAACCTTTTGTTAATAATATAAGTTTTATTATAATGAACATTGCATTGCGGCAGCTAAAGTGCTATTAAATAAATTTAATCAGAAATACACATTCACACTCATCTAAAATACACCTCAATAACAGCCCAAGGTATGTGAACAGCATTACTCACTTTATTAAAAACCATCCAGTACCATAAAATCAGTACATTCTTAACAAGATTTATCAATTTCCAGATTTTGAAACACAGTCTCTGGAATATACTGAATGGCATCCAGATTTCATTCTGTCCAAATACAACCGAACATGCCGAATGGGTCATTATTTCAATTTAACCAAATTTACACAAGTCAGCTGGGCAGAATTTGCAAAAAGTAAATGTGCAATTCTAATACATTGCACAAACCTGTCATTAACACCCTTTGTACAGGGAGTGCAGAATTATTAGGCAAGTTGTATTTTTGAGGATTAATTTTATTATTGAACAACAACCATGTTCTCAATGAACCCAAAAAACTCATTAATATCAAAGCTGAATATTTTTGGAAGTAGTTTTTAGTTTGTTTTTAGTTATAGCTATGTTAGGGGGATATCTGTGTGTGCAGGTGACTATTACTGTGCATAATTATTAGGCAACTTAACAAAAAACAAATATATACCCATTTCAATTATTTATTATTACCAGTGAAACCAATATAACATCTCAACATTCACAAATATACATTTCTGACATTCAAAAACAAAACAAAAACAAATCAGTGACCAATATAGCCACCTTTCTTTGCAAGGACACTCAAAAGCCTGCCATCCATGGATTCTGTCAGTGTTTTGATCTGTTCACCATCAACATTGCGTGCAGCAGCAACCACAGCCTCCCAGACACTGTTCAGAGAGGTGTACTGTTTTCCCTCCTTGTAAATCTCACATTTGATGATGGACCACAGGTTCTCAATGGGGTTCAGATCAGGTGAACAAGGAGGCCATGTCATTAGATTTTCTTCTTTTATACCCTTTCTTGCCAGCCACGCTGTGGAGTACTTGGACGCGTGTGATGGAGCATTGTCCTGCATGAAAATCATGTTTTTCTTGAAGGATGCAGACTTCTTCCTGTACCACTGCTTGAAGAAGGTGTCTTCCAGGAACTGGCAGTAGGACTGGGAGTTGAGCTTGACTCCATCCTCAACCCGAAAAGGCCCCACAAGCTCATCTTTGATGATACCAGCCCAAACCAGTACTCCACCTCCACCTTGCTGGCGTCTGAGTCGGACTGGAGCTCTCTGCCCTTTACCAATCCAGCCACGGGCCCATCCATCTGGCCCATCAAGACTCACTCTCATTTCATCAGTCCATAAAACCTTAGAAAAATCAGTCTTGAGATATTTCTTGGCCCAGTCTTGACGTTTCAGCTTGTGTGTCTTGTTCAGTGGTGGTCGTCTTTCAGCCTTTCTTACCTTGGCCATGTCTCTGAGTATTGCACACCTTGTGCTTTTGGGCACTCCAGTGATGTTGCAGCTCTGAAATATGGCCAAACTGGTGGCAAGTGGCATCGTGGCAGCTGCACGCTTGACTTTTCTCAGTTCATGGGCAGTTATTTTGCGCCTTGGTTTTTCCACACGCTTCTTGCGACCCTGTTGACTATTTTGAATGAAACGCTTGATTGTTCGATGATCACGCTTCAGAAGCTTTGCAATTTTAAGAGTGCTGCATCCCTCTGCAAGATATCTCACTATTTTTGACTTTTCTGAGCCTGTCAAGTCCTTCTTTTGACCCATTTTGCCAAAGGAAAGGAAGTTGCCTAATAATTATGCACACCTGATATAGGGTGTTGATGTCATTAGACCACACCCCTTCTCATTACAGAGATGCACATCACCTAATATGCTTAATTGGTAGTAGGCTTTCGAGCCTATGCAGCTTGGACTAAGACAACATGCATAAAGAGGATGATGTGGTCAAAATACTCATTTGCCTAATAATTCTGCACTCCCTGTATAACTAAATTATAGGGAGAAAAGGGTAACCCCATTGAGGAGTATATTATACTCTTATAAAAATATTTACGTTCTAGAATACTATATCAATATTATAATTTTTTTATATATTTAACCCCTTAGTGACGAGACCTTTTTAAAATTTTCTTACCGTTAAGGACCAGGGCTCTTTTTACATTTCTGCGCTGTTTGTGTCTATCTGTAATTTATCTCTTACTCAGTTACTGTGCCCACACATATTATTTACCGTTTTTCTCGCCATTAAATGGTCTTTCTAAAGATCCCATTATTTACATCATATCATATAATTAACTATAAAAAAATATGAAAAAATGTATAAAACCACACTTTATCGAACTTTGACCCCCAAAATCTTTTATGCATCTACAACCGCCAAAAACGCTGTGCTAAATAGTTTCTATATTTTGTCCTGAGTTTAGAAACACCCAATGTTAGCATGTTCTCAGCTTTTTTTGGAAAGTTCTAGGGCTATAAGTAATTTTTTTCAAAATTAACGCAAGTTGTACTTTGGCATGGATTCTCAGTTCCTGTTATTTGTTACTGACAAAGAACACCCCAATATGTGTTCAGTAACATCTACCGAGTACAACAGTGCCCCCAATGTATAGGTTTTATGGGTTTTTGCAAACGTACAGGGGTCAAATGTAGGGCTTTCCCCTTTTCCATGTTGGCACTTCGAAATTTGACTGATTGGTTTGCTGGGCCTATGTTACCTTTGAGACTGTATAGCAGCCCAGGAATGAAAATTAACCCCATCATGGCATACCATTTGTAAAAGTAGACAACCCACGGTATTCAAAATGGGGTATGTCCAGTATTTCTTAGTAGCCACTTAGCCACAAACGCTTGCCAAAGTTAGCATTTTTATTTGTATTTTGCCTTTTTCTTATACAAAAACTGAACTTTTACTGGTGAGCTCATCGTTGTGTTAAGTTTCTCTGTTGTAAACACTCATATTTATGTTCAGCTAAGTCTCCCGAGTATAACAATACCCCATGTACAGGTTTTATGGTGTTTTGAAAAGGTACAGGGCCAATGTAAGGCTTGCCCAATTCAGTTTGTCAGATTGGTTTGCCAGGTCTGTGTTGCCTTTTGAGACCATATGGTAGCCCAGGAATGTGAAATAACCCCATCATGGCATACCACTTTCAAATGTAGACAACCCAGGGTATTCCAAATTGGGTATTTCCAGTCTTTTGTAGTAGCCACTAAGTCAATATCTTATAGTACATATCTCAAAGTACGGTCCTAAATTGGAGAGGGGGGAATCTCTGGGCTCAGTTCAGAGAGTCCCTCCAAAGAAGTAGACCGATTGCCGGCAGGGGAACGCGGCGATCGGTAAGTACATGGGAGAGGGAGGGTAAGGGTTAATTTTTTTTGCACATATACTGTGCCTGCCTGAAGGCTTCTGATGATCTGTCTAACTGCTGGGCTCCACGTGGAGCAACCTGGAAGTGATCGCTCCGAGGGGAGCGATAACCCGGTAATCTCCCGTGGTCCCCAAAAGTGAGGGGGGTACTACAGCGATGCCTCAACATTGAGGCATCGCTGTAATACAATTGGAGCTGCTGGAAGCAATCATGATCGCTTCCAGAGCTCTAATTACCCCAGGACGTATCAGGTACGTCCGCGGTCCTTAAGGACGTACCTGATATGTCAGCGGTTGGGAAGGGGTTAAACCCTTTACCCCACTGGCTTATATTTCATTCAGAGTGAAAGTGGTTGAATCCTGTGTTTGATAAACATGTGATGGCTTCAGTCTAGGGAGTGATAAGTTATGGAAAAATGTTTTTAAAAGTAAAATCAATAGTTCAACCAATAAATTAAGTTTAAATTTCTTTATTTTTGAGTGCAAAAAGTTTAACAATGACCAATTTCCTGACAAAATACATTTTCTTTGCTTACTTCTTCTCACAATACATTTATGGTCATTACCATTTTAATGACACCAGTTGCTATGAGAACATTATAAAACCACTTATGGAAGCTGCACTTTCCCGTGTCAAAGCAAATTATAGTTGTTACTTACAGACGTTTAATTATTTAAAATGTAGCTTCCATCTCACATAGTTTATTCTCATCTTCCTTTCAGATACTTCTATTAGACTGATAAATACTCTATGGAATCTCATAATCTGCTCGTGTAGTTTTGCACCCTCTTGTTCTGTAGCAGTATTATCTGAAGCGTAAACATAGTTATGAAGTAGCAAGAGTGAATTTTAAGATGCTGGTGTTTAGAAGGTATTAAATACGAAGACGTTATTTAATCTAGCACTTGCTGTATTTAAGAGTATCAAATCATCACACTACTGCAGTCACACTAAAAAGACTTTCTGTAGAAAAAATGTAATTATTTTGAGTTGAAGAACTATTACAATATCGGTGGCCAAACGTATAAGAAATACTTCAAATGTAGGTTAGTGCCATTCAGTTACGTTGCGGTCTGTATAGAATAGAATCAGTTCAGTGTTCTGCATCTGATGATTAAGACTGCAAATAATTTCCATAAACTACACTTATATAACAATACCAGTGCCATACCAAAGCCAAAAGATGCCCAAATGAGTCTGAAAAGCTGCAGACTGTTAGACCTTGGCTTAATTGGGGTCACAGTCCATACTTTAGTTTGAAAGCTAGTTTAACCCCTTAAGGACTGAGCCAAATGTACACTATATGTCTGTCCAACCGTAATTCACCTCTTTCATATTAAGTGCATCCACACTTATTATATATCAAAAAAAAACAGGGCTTTCATTTAACATCAAATATTTAGCTATGAAACAATGTAATGTGAATAAAATATAAAAAAAAATGGGAGAAAAGTAGTTCTACATGACATTTTAACTGTGAATGTCATAATACTTTTTGCAATAAAATACACATTTGTATTCAGCTATGTCTCACGTGTAAAACAGTACCACCGATGTACAGGGTTTATGGTGTTTTGGGAAGTTACAGGGTCAAATATAGCATGTTACATTTATTTTATTTTTTTCACATTGAAATTCGCCGGATTGGTTACGTTGCCTTTGAAACTGTATGGTAACCCAGGAATGAGAATTACTCCCATGATGGCATACCATACATGAGTAAAGTAAAACAGGGATTAGTTAGATTAAAAACAAAAGAAGGAAGGTATGTAGAAAAGGATAAAGGTCTAGCTGACTGCCTCAATTAATATTTTTGTTCAGTATTTACAGATGAAAATGAAGGAAAGGGGCCTCAGTTAGGAAAAAGGACAAATTAGTCATTTGTTACATGTGAGTTTACAGAGGAAGAGGTTCTATTTCAACTGTCAAAAGTAAAGACAAATAAGTCAATGGGACCTGATGGAATACACCCAAAGCTATTAAAAGAGCTTAGTGGTGTACTAGCAAAACCATTAACAGATTTATTTAACCAATCATTGTTAACAGGAGTAGTCCCAGAAGATTGGAAGTTAGCGAATGTTGTGCCCATTCACAAGAAATGTAATAGGGAGGAGTCAGGCAACTATAGGCCAGTAAGCCTTACTTCAGTAGTGGGGAAAGTAATGTAAACCATGTTAAAGGATAGGATTGTTGAACATCTAAAAACACATGGATCTCAAGATCAGAGACAACATGGGTTTACTTCAGGGAGATCATGCCAAACTAATCTTATTTTTTTGATTGGGTAACTAAAATAATAGATCAGGGTGGTAGAGTAGACATTTCTTACCTAGATTTCAGTAAGGCTTTTGACACTGTTGCACATAGAAGGCTTATCAATAAACTGCAATCATTAAGTTTGGATTCCAATATTGTAGAATGGGTATTGCAGGGGCTGAGTGACAGGCAACAGAGGGTTGTAGTCAATGGAGTATATACGAAGCTTGGACTTGTCACCAGTGGGGTACCTCAAGGATCTGTACTTGGACCCATTCTCTTTAATGTTTTTATTAGTGATATTGCAGAAGGTCTTGATGGTAAGGTATGTCTTTTTGCTGGTGATACTAAGATATGTAACAGAGTTGATGTTCCAGGAGGGATAAGCCAAGTGGCAAATAATTTAGGTAAACTATAAAAATGGTTAGAGTTGTGGCAACTGACATTTAATGTGAATAAAAAAAAACTGTGTTTTAACTTTAGTTTACTTTTTACAGGCAGCAGGGGGCTACCTGTCATTACAGGCCCTCCCCCTGCTGGCACTGCTATGGATAAGTGCAAGATAATGCATCTTGAAAAGGAACTTAACATGTATAGCTTGGAGGAAAGACGAGACAGGGGGGATATGATAGAAATATTTAAATAGATAAAGGGAATCAACACAGTAAAGGAAGAGACCATATTTAAAAGAAGAAAAACTACCACAACAAGAGGACATAGTCTTAAATTAGAGGGGCAAAGGTTTAAAAATAAAATCCGGAAGTATTACTTTACTGAGAGTGTAGTGGATGCATGGAATAGGCTTCCAGCTGAAGTGGTAGAGGTTAACACAGTAAAGGAGATTAAGCATGCGTGGAATATGCATAAGGCTATCCTAACTATAAGATAAGTCAGGGACTAATAAAAGTATTTTTAAAAATTGGGCAGACTAGATGGGCTGAATGGTTCTTATCTGCCGTCACATTCTATGTTTCTATGTAAAAGTGTGTGTATATATATATATATATATATATATATATATATATATATACACACATACACACACACACACACACACACTTAGATCATATTTGTAATTTGCACTAAAGAATAAATTAGATTTTGGATGAAGACCTGTGAGTGCTCCTTATATATTGATTTTTGTTATATATATACACACACACACACACACACACACACACACACACAAACATACTGTGTTTTAACTTTAGTTTACTTTTTACAGGCAGCAGGGGACTACCTGTCATTACAGGCCCTCCCCCTGCTGGCACTGCTATGGACGGCTATTCTGTCCATGTGATCGTGAGGTCCTCACGATCACATGGCCAAGGAGGGCCAGTTCGGCAGCAGGGGGACTCCCTAGGATGCCAGGTAAGACTCCCCCATCACGATCGCCGGTGAGCGGGTAAGTGGCCAAGACGGCATGGACGTGCTATGCCGCCCGCCGGCGTTTAGAGCCGGGTCCCCAAAGGACGGCATAGAATGCCACCGTCCTTAAAGGGTTTAAAGCAGCTGGCTATTGCTAAGTAAATCAATTGACTTATTGGTGCCATATAAATACTACTACGAATAATAAAGAGCAGAAAATGCAAACTTAAAAAAAAAACAAAAAAAAACAACAACAAAAAAAAACTTATTTATGGCAGGTAGATGTTGCACATTATCCATGTAAAACAGGTATGGATATTAAAGGGATACTATAGGCACCAAAGCAACTTTAGAGTAATGAAACAGTTTTGGTGTGTGGTTCATACCCCTGCAGTCTGACTGCTCAATTCTCTGCCATATAAGAGTTAAATCACTTTGTTTATGCAGCCCTTGCCACACCTCCCTGAATGTGACTTAAATGCCTTCCTAAATATTTCATGTAAAGAGATAGAATTTTAAATTTTATTGTACATTCGGTATAATTTAGAATTTATTATTTCTGGTTGTGTTAATAGCCTTCTAAACCCTGCAGGAGCCTCCTGTGTTTGATTAAAGTTCACTTTACAGAGCAGGAGATAAAAAAATACCCATTTCACTGACCTCAATAAGAAGTAGTACACTTTGCTACACAACCAGGGAGCAAAGATAGGTGCCAAGCCACAAGTTACTGCTGGTCCCAAATTAATCATAGAAACTACAATATTGACATGCCAACACCAACAAATCTTTTTATGGGCTGAAACAGGTCGGTCTGCATTTACTGAGTGAAGGTCAGTCCACTTACAATTATTTATATGGTGCTGACATATTTTGTAGTGCTGTACAATAGGTAAAACAATATATATAATTAATTCTAGGTAAAAAAAGGGCTCTGCACAAACAAGTTTACAATCCCATAAAAAGATTTAATGGTGCTACTCATTTAATATTGTTTATCCTATTTTCCATTAGTCGACAAGGGAAGAATAACTAGGAAGCGATCATAGCTCATGTTCTCCGATATGCACATTTGTACACTGGTTTTTCTCGAACGGCTGTCTATTTTAATTACATTTAAAAAGAATACTCTAGGGGGGCGGAGCCTGACCGCGAGACGGGCTAGACGCCATTTCTGAGAGCTCCTTCCCGGCGAGCGAAATCCGCCGTAAATCTACCATAACCAGACCCCATCCGAACTTGAAACCAGCGGGTACAGATTGGGGACACCCCCCGGCACCGACAGATGCCTTTTCAATATACCCCGAGGCAGACCAAACCGAAAAAGAAGACCGGGGCCTACTTCACGCCGACGCTTGCAGACCTCGAGGCACTATTTGGTGGAGCGGACGCACATAGGGCAGCTGAGACCCCGGCTTACCCGGCAAAAACTCTCCACAGTCCTACACCAGCAATGGGGAGACGTTCACAGAGGCCTCAAACGTCCCAGGCAACGGACCAGCAGGACATTGGCACTCTCCTACAACGGCAGGTACCATCCAAAATGGCGGCCGCTAACGGTCCTGATCCCCATGCAACCCCTGACATGCCTAGCCAGACACACATCCCAGCAACACAGGGGGACCCACACTCCATGACTGGGGACATCCCTGGAGGCACAGCCCCTGCCACTAAGCAGGATCTCCACAATATGCAAAATACCTTGCTGGAAATACAGAGGCTCTTAACTGCAGACATGTCCTCCCTGAAATCTAACATGCAGCAGCTCAATGACAGGACAACTCACACTGAAGGGGACATTGGGAAACTTCAAAATGAAGTAGCTGAACTGAAAACCGCAATGGTCCACTTAAAAACCACACAACAGGCTATGTCAATTCAAATGACGGCATATCAAGATAGACATCGCCGTAATAACCTAAAAATCCGCGGGATACCCCCAGAGATCGATTCAGAGGAACTACCTCACTATACAAGGAGACTTATTGCATCATTGTTACCACCGGCGCTAGCCAAAAAATTCACTATCAGTGGACTGTACAGACTGCCCACCATCACTAAGACGGCAGCCCCAATCACTGGTGACGTCATCCTCCGATGCAATACATTACAAGATAAGGGCCAGATCATGGCAGCAGTGAGGGGTAAAACCCCATTACCATTTGAAGGATCGCACTTAACCTTCTACCAGGACCTCATTAAAACTACACTTCAATGGCGCAAATCACTGCAGTCACTCACCAGCCGCCTGCGCTCCGCGGGGATAACATACAGATGGGGCATGCCAAGATCCCTACTAATAGTACACAACAGGACGACCCACAAGCTTACAACTGAAGCGGAGGCACCTGCAATACTCTACACACTGGGCCTTACTGAAACGCCAACCGCAACCGCTGCTCCCCAAGTCGAACACACCTGGGACCCTGAATCAACGATCCCATTCGTACCGAGAACCACACCTATTACCTGACTGATCAAGAAATGGGCGCAACTATCCCACACAGAGGAACAAACGTTACCAGACCACCAAGAATACTGGCTTATATTATGCATTATACTAACCTCTGTTCAGATTTCTCTTCACTTACTGGTTACCCTACTCATACCCGTTCTACACACTAACAGACCCAGAGAGGGGCAGTCTCAGAAGCACCCCGCATACACATAGGATATACAACCTACCACCACCCGGTATACATACTAAACAGTTCCGGGGAAAGGCAGCCTCACACCCGTCTCGCATACACACACGAGATACACCCACAAGAGGTGTACAACACCTCCCCCCACCCCCCGATGCCCCCTTGGTTAGGGGTACTTACCTACTAGGATAACCGAAACAAACCTCAGGCCAACACTACTAACACATTGGTTACCCACATGCTCCCCTCACCAACGCACTCATAACTTAACACAATGCTACAACAAAACCTACTAGTACTCCCATGTAAAAACAAAATGTGCGAATGTTTCCTAAGATGTCTTGTTAACTAACCCTTTACCAAACCTTGTTACCCTGCATTATAGTTACAGTGCCCGTCCTGGCTGTTGGGGCTGGACGTGATCGTGTAAAAATGAAAACGCACCAAAAATAAAGAATTTAAAAAGAATACTCTATGCATCATATCCACTAAAGTGCTGTGCCACCCTCCAATGTAAGTAGCCAAACTGCCTTTGAGCTAAGCCCTGCACAACCAACTTAGCTCAGAGCTGAGAGCTTCCAACGGTCTTTCTCTGAAAAAACAGTGTTTACTGCAAAAAGCCTAAAGGGAACAATACAATAAGCTGTAGTTGTTCTTGTGACTATAGTGTCCCTTTAACTGACCAATTGTGCATTGGCAAATACTTTATTGCTTTATGAACTTTTGTAAAACCACCTTTACTACTAATGCAGTTTTATATTCAGAGATGGTATAGACATGATATTCTATGAAACATTCTTCTTCTGTGTGTATTTCAATAAACATACTTCAAAAACAGAACTATAATCTTTATTTACAAGTCAGATGTCCATTGTCAGAAAAAAAATAGAGGTTTGAGGTTTATGTAAACCACATTAGTCCACCGAGTTTGTCCACACAGGTTTCCTTTTCTGAGAAAATGCTGCTATACCTTCCTGACCATCTTTTAATGCCAGATTTTTCACCATGATCTGAGATGTCAGTCTGTATGCATCATCAAGGTTTTGTGCCATTTGTCTATAAAATGTAGCTTTTCCCAGAGCAACCACTGAGCGGCTTGTATGGCAAATTTTGTGTGCAATGTTTGTGGTCTCTGTATCAAGATTCTCCTCTGGTACCACCTTGCTGATTAGACCATGAAGCAAAGCATCATGGGCAGTTATGGGCTCACCTGTGAACAGCATTTCCAAGGCAACCTATTAAAAAATAAAGAAATTACAACAAGTACAGGGAGCTTAAAAGAACACTTTACACACATAAATCAGGTGTGTTTGGAGTCTTCCATATTTGTTAACCCTTAATGCTGTTAGGGCATACTATGGCACCCTGCAAAAGCAGGCCTTTAACACAGTTAGTGTGGCATAGAACTTAATTCTCATCGCCTTCTATTTAAATAATTTTATTTACACACAGGAGGCTTTTATGGGCTCTATTAGGCAATTAACAGAGGAGGAGATACATTCTAAATTAAAGGGACACTATAGTCACATAGACCACTTTATCTCAGTGAAGTGGTTTGGGTGCAGTGTCCCTGTTCCACTTAGTCCGGCTGTCAGACTCCAGATCACCTAAATGACACTGAATGTCCTCACGCTCTGCATGAGGACATCAAGCGTCAGTGAAATCCTCAGGAAAGCACTGACTCAATGCTTTTCTATGTGGAGGGCTTAACATTCTCGCAAGTGCTCGAGGCACATGCGCATGTAACTCCCCTGTCAGTTGATGATGGAGAAGGTGAAACGCAGGAGCCAGCGCAGAGGGACATCTTTGCTGGAATCAGGTAAGTGATTAAAGTTTTTTTTTTGTTTGTTCGTTTTTTAAACCCTTTCCATGCTGGAGGGGGACAAATTTGTATTCCTAACACTATAGAATTACTTTAAACATAATGGGCTATAAAAGGAATCTACAAACAATTAGGCTCTATTTTCAGGAAGAGTATAGGGAAAGTGTGTGAGCCACAGCCATGAGAGGTGTGGTTAGGGCTGCATAAACAAAGTGATTTAACTCCTAAATAGACTTGTGCACTAATGTGTTTTAGCTGCTATGACTGAATCAAAAGCCTTTTAATCTATCCCTGAACAAATCTATCTAAGACCAACCAGGTCTTGAAAAAAAGACTTTACAGATGGAAACGTCGACCTGTTTGATGTGTATTCCTGTTATTGCTTAATAAAGCAACAGTTGCAATTTATTTTAAAGACTCCTGAGTGCGCTCTACTTGGATTGTATATTATTTGGTTGGAGACAGCACCGGAGCAGTTAAAGACCGGAAGCATCGAGTGCTGGGACAGATAATATATATAATTTTTTGGGGGGCCTTAGGAGGGAACCTTACGACTGGTTTAGTAAGTGTCACAGTTAATCAGATATAACATGTTACCCACAGTTTTTCTTTTTACACTTTTTCCAGTGATTCTTTCCTCACCAATTTTGGAATGGTTGATAGCTGATCTATTTTTCATTTCTATATTATTACGATTGCCATTATATGTATGTGCTCTATTCATTTCTTAGGTTTTTTTTTTAACTATATCTATTTTTTCATCTAGCTATGCATACTTGGCACAAGAGTCCGGACCCATTTTTGTCCGTCAGGACACTCACAAGGGTCTTCACACAGGCACTCCCTCTTATGTCCTTCTATTCCTTTTTTTTGCAGGGGTTTCTTTGCTGTGTATAGCCCTTACCATCTAACCTCATGACTGGTTGTATCACTGCACTGATAATTATTTTAGCTTATACAAGCGGTCTTAAGTCTCTAAAGCTTCATTCGCTGTATTACGGCGAGTTGTAACTTTCACAATATACCTAAATGTTTGTACATATGACCACCTGCTAGCTAAGTTAGGCTGTAAACTTGCTTATTTACATAAGGTGCACCCTGTATTCAATGCCATATATCTCTGCCTCTCGTCACTTTGTCTCTTGGTGGTTTACGTCTCATTCTGGTGTTCATTTGATGCTTGATTGTTGTTGTACTACACTGTAATACTTTCAATAAACCTTCAAGCTAATGTTGTTTCGGTGCTTAAGAGAGTTGAAATTCCTGCACAATTTATGGATGGATATACCCACTGTTTTTTTTTTTTTTCCTTTAGAATTCCAGCACATTGGACTTTTTCATTAGAAAACATTCAAATTAATTTGCACTACAGTAAAAGCAACAACACATCACAGATCTAAAGGATTTCAGAGAAAATAAGTTACAGTACCTTCCTTGGCACTGCTCGTCCTAAGGCAACAGCAGGTGTGGAGCAGAACAGTCCAACGTTGACACCAGGTGTTGCAAACTTGGATTTAGGTGAGGCCACTGCAATGTCACAACTAGCAACAAGCTGGCACCCTGCTGCTGTGGCGAGGCCATTAACCTGTGCTATAACTGGTACTGGAATGGCCTGTATTGAGGTCATAAGCTGCAAAAAAATAAATAATGTAGTACTTCAGTACAGCAGCGAACTGGAAGGATTAACCATTATATTTGAATATTTTTACTAAGACTAAACTCTGGAAGAAAAAACAAAAAAAACAAAAAAAAAAACCAAACATTTTATTACATATAAAGCAAACATTAAACCTACCTTACCCTTTGGATTTCTTGAAGATCAGGGGTTAAGGAGGCTCTCACTCTCCCAATAGAAATTCACAGCAGTAGTTGACCACCCAGAGCGTGGGAATATCTCCTTCAAATATTTTTATTTTTCAAGAAGTAAGGCATAGAGCATTTGAAAATAAACATGACAACTGTCAATGCATACTAGGAGAGTTCACCACTACACTTATAGGAAAAGCAACCGAACATGTTCCATTAGGGTACTTACTCAGAGGTCTATCAGTAAGTAACCTATTAGTACAAATTGTGTCAGGCGGCTCTCAAAGCAGTGCCAATTTATTTTTGCAATAAATGCTACTATATAAATGCTAATATATTATGTTCTAGTCTTGCAGTTTTCCCTACGCTATGGGAAGAGTCTGTCTACTGCTATAAATCGCTATTACTACAGAGACACTGACTATTGCATAACTTTGCTGATCTGGTAACCATGGCCAGATCTTTATGTATAGCAATTTCAGTGAACTACTCTTAATACTATTCAAATTTACATAAAGGGGCAACACAAGAAAAAATAATATTCTCCCAAGTACCCTGTTGTTCTCTCTATTTTATCAGAGAGGAGGTTCACACCACAACAGTTCCCCATCCCACTTTATATATAGAAGAGGCAATTAATTAACAATATCTTCACCTCTTCCAAGATGGCCATTATTTCTTTTAACTAATCACAGAACAAAGTGCACTTGGGTCACTCAGATTATTTGTAGTTTCTTTAAATTCAGGAATTTTGAATCACAGACCACAGTTTACAGTACTGACTCTGATTTCACTTAAAAAAATAATGATTTAAAAAAAAAATGTTTGAATAATGATACACTGGGAGCCTACATTTCTACCCACTGCTTAGCTCACTTCTGTCATAGATAAAGGTCTCCCAACTTACTTTGCAAAGTGAGAAAACAACATAGGGGTCATTTAGAAGGTGTGGACGGAAAGGAGCTTTGCGAGGCTTCCTTAAAAGTCTCACTATCAGTAGGTTTACAAAAACAGTGTTTTAAAAATAGAAAACTTCTGGAAACCAATTGTCTCTCTCTTCTCTCAGCTATTCA